ACACATTATTTTAGTTTTAGGTATACAATAAAATGATCTGAAATCTGTATACATTGCAAAATGATCACCATAGTATGTTCAGTTACCTTCCAAGTTTGATATATTCTTATTAGATATCAAGCAAATGTCAACTAGTAAGCTGGATATGTCAAACACTGTCCAAGGCACTGGAGATACAACAATATATAGAAGAGATACAACAATATATAGAAGAGCCAAGGTATATCCTCACAGTACCTATATTCTCCTACAAAATGATTACAGCAATATAAGAAGTATCAGCATTGAGACAGACAGAAATAGGTATTTTGGGTAAGTATACTATACTTTAGATGCTATATTAAATCTCTGGGATGGTATAACATATACTTAATACATTGCAAGAGTTGATGGGAATTCCCTCTTAAAAGATTTTATGTAATTATTCATCCATGCTTTATTCAATAATTAAAAAAAGAAAATCAATATAAATACCAATGTATTTATTTAGGTTGACAAGTCTATACCTGGGGACACTATAAAAAGCTAACAATATTTTTCTTTATCTATAAAATAGCACTCTGTTCATCTGTAAATGATCATTTACATCTGAACATCTGTAAATGTTCATTGTCTGTTTGAACCCAGATCAGTAAACTTCTGTTTGCCTAGCTGGAAAAAAGATAGGATCTATGCAAAATAAGTTTGCATAAACCTATATAGTATTATAAAAGAAAAATGACAGCCAAGACCCAAATTGGATATATCCAAAGGTAACATTATTAACATGTCTCCTTTAAAGGCAGATTTTCTAAATTGTTATTCAAGAAACATATTTTCTTCACTCTTCAAATGTTTGTTTCTCTAATTCTTTCCTCCAGGTCCAAAAAAAAAGGAGGAGGAAAAGAAGAAAGAAATGAAAGAGAGAGGAAGAGGAAGAAGAGGAAGAGGAGGAGGAAAGGAAGAGGAGGAGTAGGAGAAGGAAAAAAGAAGAGTAGGAGGAGAAATAAGTAAAATGAAAATCTTTTTTTTTTCTAAAACTCAAAAAACTTAATTGCACATAAGAAGTATATGCATCTTGTACAGATTGCAGGAACTACTGCAGCAGATATCACTAGACACACACATCTCACATATCTAAGTTCCCTTCATTACTATATATGTATTCCAGTATATGCAATCTGCTTACATATCAATATTTTTATTATCAAAGATGCTATTTTATACAAACTGCTCAGGGATGAGATGACCAGAATAATAATAATAATAATTATTATTATTATTATTATTATTTTTTTTTATAATCATAACTTTTTTTCCCCTTTAAGATACTCTTTCTTTTTATGCTCTAAGAAATCTTTTGGTTTACAGTCCACATGTTGCCTAGAGTCAAAGGTTATTCAAACAAAGCCAATACAAAGTGATATTACTACATAGTTGCAAGAACAAATTTCAGGGTACTTTTATGGAGTTTAAGTTCTGAAATAGACTATATATGGCTCTGATAATGAGCCCATTACTAAAAGTCACTTTAGTAAAATGTATAAACCTGTATGAGATTATGTGTCTACACTATGTGCACACGTTATCTTTATCTCCCCAAATATCATGTGTGCCATTTTCATTTAAGAATAATTAAAAATAGGGATCCCTGGCTGGCTCAGAAGTTTAGTGCCTGCCTTCGGCCCAGGGCGTGATCCTGGAGTTCCGGGATCGAGTCCCACATCGGGCTCCTTGCATGGAGCCTGCTTCTCCTTTTGCCTGTGTCTCTGCCTCTCTCTCTCTCTGTGTCTCTCATGAACAAATAAATAAACTCTTTTTTTTAAAAAAGAGAATACTTAAAAATTGAAGATAAGAACATTATTGTCACTTTAAAAACATCTCTTCACAACTGTTGTATAATTAATGAATTGACACAACGCACAGGAAATAGATGCAATTAAAAAGCATTGTGGTAACTGATGTTTAGTTCCCTATAAATGACTATAAAACCATACTCTTGTTTAAAAATAAAGAAAATCTGTAGAACAAAAGCTAAACTTAATACATATTCTCTTATGGAACAGTAATGATAAATATGTATGTGGTTCATTAATCTGTATCAAATGAGAAAATCTTTATTTACATCCAAAATAGAAAAGTTTGTCCCTAGTTCTCAACTAACTTAATGTTTATTCTCTATGGATTCCTACAGACACAAGGTACCAAAAAAAAAAAAAAAATCATAAACAGTATTAGCAGATATCTTCTATGAGAAGGCAAAACTCCACCATTTTTCATATACTATAAAAATGCACATATAAATAACCCACCAAGCAAATTTCAATGCAAATCTATGTATCATTTGTCACTGAATAAAATTAATTTCTGTGTCTAGCACAAGGATAGTCAGTATATCTTTGAAATGGTACAAGCTTCTCTAAATTTGAAATTCATGGGGAGAATAAGCACACACTTCTAAGAAGGATAATAAGTAAACAGAAATCACAGAATCCTGGAAGAGAAATAGCCTTAGAGATCCTAAAACCAGCCCCCTCATTATAGATGTGAACGCTCAGTCCCAGTGTGTCGGAATAGCCTAGAGGGCAGTGTTGTCTACATCCCAAATTTTCAACAATCCCCATGGAGAGGCTGTCATCATTCTGGAGTAAACCAAAGGCAATCCAATGTCAGATATATGCTTTATGTACTCATTCAGTAAGTGTCCACAGCTTAATTTGCTTCAAAAGTAGTAGATGCTGAATACAAAAACTAGTTTCTCACACACACACACACACACACACACACACACACACACACACAAATTCACCATTACCTTTTCAACTTTTCAACCTTGGGTATTTTTCACTACGTTACCATGAATTTTACTGCACAATTACAGTCCAGACATAAACTTCCCCTTTATCCTATAATACTAAATCAGAACAAAGGTCCTAGGTGTGTCTCTGGAGCATAAGAGGTGAGGTAGGGGGAGAAGGAAGAAAAGAAGGGAGAGAGGTACGAAGAGAGGGAGGCAGGCTAGGAGGAGAGAGGGAAGGAAGGAGAGAGATGATGTCTTGCTACGCTGTTCCAGCAAGCTGGTTAATTGCATTTGTTTCATATACCTCCAAACACTCTGGTACATTAATTACATTCTGTAACACCAAGCTCTTCTGATTCCCTCTGTCACTTCCACTGAGCAATTTAATTGTATTCCTCTTAGCTACACACTAATTCAAAAAAGAAAGAAGAGGGAAGGAAGGAAGGAAGGAAGGAAGGAAGGAAGGAAGGAAGGAAGGAAGGAAGGAAGGAAGGAAGGAAGGAAGGAGAAAGAAAAAGAAAGAAAGAAAGAAAGAAAGAAAGAAAGAAAGAAAGAAAGAAAGAAAGAAACAACTAGCTGATAATTCTGTCACCTAATATATAGTTTATACATGCATTCCTGGTATTGAAATATACAAATCCATGCTTTATGAGGACATATTATCCAAAAAGTCATATCAAAGTCTTCTTGTCATGACAATCAAACACACTTGGGAGAAATACGTAAACCTTTTGGTTAGGGCAATGTATATGTACTGTAAAGGTAAATGTACTGAAGAAGAAAATGCGTGGTGAATGATTAGGGATGACTATAGACACTGTCACAGTGTGATTCACGATGATTAATTCCGAAACATCTACTGCTTAGAAGGGAAAAAGGAAAAGCGGCGTGGCCGCGCGAATGCCTTGCCTACTACCGCTGGGGGCAAAGGTACTCATGTAGCCCATGATTGAAAACAGCCACTTGACAGTAGGTAAACTCATCTGTACTGCCTCACGTTTATGGAAAGCCTTCCTGCTTTGAGTCCGATGCATTGGGTTCTGTGCAGCAGCAGCTGCCAGGAACAAAGTTAGCTCCTACAGGCGGGCAAAAATAGGCAGTGTCCCAAATAATGAATTCGTCCACAATGCAAATGCTGGAGGAAAGTTTACGTAGCAACAAGCTACCATGGTGGCTCAAATATTTGGACCAATACACAGATTCTTTACAAGTACAATAGTTACGAATCTGAAGCACTACAATCCACATTTTCAGGAAAACAAACAAACAAACATGCCCCAGGCTTCTCTTTATACAAATTCTTTCCATCGATTAGAAAATTAAGGCTCCCGGAAGGTTAATACCAAGCGTTCTTTCGACTTTTCTCTTATGAACAAAAAAGCACGTTAATGACTACTTTCCACTCATCATTCCAAAGAGCTACATAAAAGATCTTGCCATCCTCTCACAAGAAACTGACATCCTGTGAAAATATCCCAGGAAACCACATCTGAACAAAAGACAGGAGAATCAGAGGCAGAATGCTGTCTGCTTGATAGACTGACTCAACCTAGAGGGAGACACCTAGGGCACCTGTTTCAGATCCCCATTGTGTCTGCCACTGGGGACTGGGCTCAGCGTTCTCTGTGCCCCCCGGCCAGCCCAGAGCTTATGCTTCCCCCTTCCTGGAGCCTCGCCCAGTCTCACTTTTGACAGTTTTCTCCCTATGATCTAAATTCTTGATTCTGATTTCACACTAGAAGAGCACTCAGCCGCACACAAGTGATACCCATTGATCCCTGAGATACCCTGTCTCAAATTCCTAACCCACTGAACCTTCCCTGAAGTGTCCATTACTATTTTCCTTCAATTGAATTTCTAAGCCAAAGTTCAGATACAAGAGCAAACAGCAAAAGGGAGCAGGCACAAGAGTATTCAAGAGATCTGCTTTAATGTTCCTTTTTCTAACAAGACGGAGAGCCCATTATTTATTACCCAACTCCTCAATTAATTAAGAAAATTACAACAATAACAACAATAGGTGACTACAAACACATCCCACTTGCAGCGGTCTAGAAACAAAGACTTAAAATCTGGGTCCCCCAAAAGCCCCTGTTTCTGCTCAAAAGGGGCTAACAGACATAATGTCATTTTATTTATAGCCCACAACACACTCAGAAAGAAATGAGGGTTTTTTTTTTTTTAGGGGGGAGGGGGAAGAATAAAAGTATTTTTAACTTACCATCAACCGGAACATATAACAATCCACAGAGCAGTAGTTGTGTAAACATCAGCCGACTCATTTTGACATATTAAAAAGGATCCAGAGTGTTTAAGAAACCAATCCCAGAGCAAAAGTACAAAAATAAGTATCAAAAAAAGAGGTAGGTCCAAAGTTTAGACTTTCCTAGATGCTAATTAAAGTCCAGAAGAGCAAGTCGCAAGACCAGAAGGGGTTAGTGGAGAGGTCTTGAATGGGGCACGTTTAGATCCATCCAGATTAGCAGAGGGCACTCCAAAGGCTGCTGTGTTTCCACCCTCTGGCTTCCCAAATTCCCACAAATTCAGCCCAGCCGGAGGGATTGATTATTCGAGGGCGTGTAACCCCCTCTCCTCAGGCTCCATTGCCATCCAAAGCCAAGTTCTTTCTTCGGAAGTCAGGAAGACGAAGGGGGAGGCAAAGACCTAATTCCTAGAAAGTGTTCCACAAAGTTGCCAGCGCGCGGCCGCAGAAGCATTGGGCTGCCTACTGGGTTTCCTTCCCCGGTCTCCGTCTCGGTGGCAGCTCCACGTCCAGAGTTGGTTTTTTGTTTGTTTGTTTTTTGTTTTGTTTTTTGTTTTTTGTTTTTTTTTTTTTTTTTGCTTTGTTGGTTTTGGTTTTTTTTTTTTTTTTTTTTGGTTGGTTTTGTTGGTTTTAGTTAGTTTGGTTGTTTTTTTTTTTTTTTTTTTTTCACTTAACTTCCATAATAAGGAGGTGTCAGAGCAACACTTTGCAGGCGCCCGACCCGGCGGGCCTGTCCTCTGCAGCCCCGTTGCCTCCCTCCGCCACTCGCGTCTCCGAAAGAGGCAAAGAGGAATCAGGACGACTCGGGTGGAGACTCCGAACTCCGACTCGGCGGGGCTGCGAGGGAGGGAGGGAGCGCGGGGCAGGGCCGAGGCGGCGGCGCCCCCCCCGCGGCCCGCCTCCGAGCGGCCGTGCCCCCCGCGGCTGCGGGCGCCCGCAGGGCCGGCGAGGGAGCCCCGGGCCGGGGAGCGCGCCGAGAGCGAGCGAGCGCGCAGCGCAGTCCGCCGCCCGCGCGGGTCGCAGCCGCCCGTCCCTGCGCTCCAGCCGCCGCCGCCGCCGCCGCAGAGCGTCCGCCTCCTCCTGCAGCTGCCGAGCGTGGAAGGACTCGGAGGAGGGAAGGCGCGGAGGCGGGCGGGGCGGGGAGGAACGGGAGCGGCTCGGAGTCGGCCCCGGGGAGGGGCGGGGCGGGGTGAGGACGGGTGCGCTGAGCTCTCCACCGCCGGAGCCCGCCCCCCGCACGTGCAGGGGGCGCCAGCCCGCCGGGCAGCCGCGGCGGAGGGGCGGGGAGCCGGGGCTCCTAGGGGGACGGAAACGAGCCCGTTTGGAGCCCAAGCCGCCCCCCGCTCCGGGCCTCCGCGCCCCCCTCCTGCCAGCCCCGGGAGGGGGCAGGTGGGCTCCGGTCTCCCGCTGCTCGCGGCGCCCCGTTTAACGGGCAGGTAATTTTCGCGGTGAGTGATTTCATGGAAGCCCCTCCTGGCCGTTCCGCCCTCCGTCCGCCGTGGATGCACGCGCGCTTTCTGGAAAAAGATGATCCTCCGGAACCCAGGGCGCAGCCTCACTCCCCGTTGAAATCACACAAACACTCAGTCTTCACCTTTTAGCAGAATGAGAAGCTGGGCGGGAGGGGGGAGAGGAAAGGAGGCAAAACACAACCACCTTTTGGAGCGGAAAGGTCGTGTGTGGGTGCTTCCTACGTCGTTAAAACGGCACAAGAAAAAAAAAAAAAACGGGGGGTGGGGGTGCGAGATCTCTAGCCTCCACCGGCTCCGTTTAGCAAGATGTACGGCCCCTGAGGAATCCCGGGGTGGGGTGGGGGGTGGCACCCCCGCTTAGGCTGCTCCGTTGCCTTATGACCCCTCAAAGAGGAGCTTGACGCCGCATCGTGGGACGCAAGGAGTTGGGCGCGAGATGCCTGGGTCGGGGACGGGGTCAGGGACGTGGGCCGAGGAGCGTATCCCGAAGCTCTTACCCCCCCTCCCCCCCACACACACACACCAGCACGTCTGAAAGGAAATTCGGAAAACACAGGATGGAGGAAAGCTGAAAAGCCACTGAGCTAAAAGAAGCTCAAAAAGAGCCGAATTCCAGCCCAAAGATGACAAACCCTGGAAACTAAGGCAAAAACCACCAAGTGAATGCCATCAGGACGGGGGATGATTACGGGAAGCCACGTTAGATCAAAGGGATGCCAGTGACGGCGGTGCCCCGGGGTGGCCGGGGTGGCCTGGCCCACGTGCGATCACGGGCTCGCTGGTAGCTGTCTGAGGCTTGTTCCGGGGATTAGAAGGCGGGTTCTGGGAACTCACGCAGTCCCCGAGCCCTGCTGACGGCTGGATAGTGGGTCTTTAGTTCCCCCTACTGGAAAACATCGGGAACGAGGCCCTCCGACGGAGGCGGCTGCTGAGGAGCCTTTTGTTTGGTGGATGCGTTTTGGTGGTGTCACTTGATTTGGCTCTCCCTTGCCCATTGTGGACGTGATGTTGTGTGTTTCAAGAAAAAAAAAGAAAAAGAAAAAGGTCAGGGACGCTTAAGCAATGAGGAGAGCCCTTGGGCATCTCAGCATACTTGAAAATTATGGTGATGAAATAATTTTGCAAAAGAATAAAACCAACCACTCTCCTTGTGAAGCATTAAGAGTAATTTCGGCAACTTTTGATATACACCATGTAGTTGTAAAGTTTAAAAAGCGCATTAATGTGCTAAAGGTATCCTCACAGTAGTGATTCTGACTGCGTTATCGTTTTACCACCCTATGAAAGAAAGGCTAAACATGTTCACATGTTTTTTTGGTTTTGTTTTGTTTTGTTTTTTTCTTTTTCCCCAAAGAGCCAAATCTCAAGTAATACTGTGGTCTGGGAAAACCCCAAAATTCATTGGAATAACATCTCTCTTTCTGTAATACCGAAAAATAACTGATAATTCTTTAAACATGTATTTTAGACGTTTGGACTAAGATTGAAAGTAACGGATTATAAAGTCTACCTCATTCCTCTAAATAATGTACACTCTCCCGTGCACAGTCTCTATCTCGATCAAATTACAAATACTCTGACAATAGAGTCTCCCTAATAAAATAATTCAGAAATTAAAATGATGCGGATTTTAAATACTTAAATTTTAACATAGATCTCAGAAAGGAACATACTAGAATATTTCACCTGGAGGAGTTTTCTCATGGCTGTTAGCTTATAGGACAAAAGATGGATTCCATGTTATAGTTGATAGACTCACCTTCAATAGATGCTTTTCCTTAAGTGATCTCTAAAATCACTCAGAGGCAGAAAGAATGTGTGTGGGAAGAAGGGGGGATAGGTTGGAGAATGACCTACGATTTACTATCATCCTCTAAGGCAGAAAAGTGTGGCCTCATAGGTTGCAGAAAGTTGTCCTTCTGTAGAATATGACAAATGACCTCATGGGGAGAAAAGGATTATTCAAAGGAAATGGCTTTGATTATATTTACTTGGCATTTTTGGGCCAAGCCTCATCGTTTTGCATTCATAATACTTTATCATTTGCAAGTGGCAAAGAAGGCCAGTGATTTCAGTCTGGTGCCACTTTTTGTTGTACAACACCTACATTCTGTAATAGTGTCTACAACAAAGGAAATTTGAAGTACATGTTTTCTGCTTTTCTCCAAGATAAGTTCATAAGTGATATTTTAAGTGAATGTCTTGTCGGTATCTCATTTGACATTAAACATGACTTAGGAAAACTAATATATTCTTTTAAAAATCTCATACCAAGTGGTGGTTTAAGATTATGAACAAAACTCTCACACTGTCAGCAACAGTGAGAGTCAGCAGACAGAAATGTAATATGAACAACGTTAAGTCCAAGGCGGAACAAAGACATCTTCTGGGAGATTTGACAAGATCTATATTAGAGAAATGTGTATATTTCAATTAAATTTAGCACACTTCTAGTGAGCACTGCCTATGTAAAAAATTGATTTCTTACTCTATTATTTTCTTAAAGCAAAATCTTTAAAACCTGAACATTCTACTAGAAGTTGGAAATTCAAAAATAATTTTTCAAAACAATTTCAAGGGACGCCTGGGTGGCTCAGCGGTTTGGCGCCTGCCTTCGACCCAGGGTGTGATCCTGGAAACCTGGGATCGAGACCCACGTCAGGTTCCCTGCATGGAGCCTGCTTCTCTCTCTCTGCCTCTCTTTCTGCCTGTGTCTCTGCCTCTCCCTCTGTATCTCTCATGAATAAATAAATAAAATCTTAAAAAAAAAAAAAACAATTTCAAAAAGAAGTTAGAAATTCAATTTTAGCAGTGCTTCAGCTTCAAAACATTTTTTTTAAGGTTTTCAGTAAGACAAAAAGCTAGAAATGGCTTAAAATGGTGAAGTCCCACCACCACTGAATCAGAATTTAAGATTCAGAAAATTAAGTGGCCTTTGGTTTCAATATCTTTCCAAATACGAATTGTTTTTTCTTCTCTAAACAAGCAGCTGAATCGAGAAATGTGCATGGAAATCTAGGCTCCTTTTATGTAAAACTTGGAATGGTATTATTATGTACTCAAAATGTGCCTACCAGATAAACATATATTTTAATACATCTAAAGACAACTGTGTGTAAGAGACTATAATTAACCCTAATTTGGGTAAGGTGATCAAATGGCCTTCTTTGTGATAGTTCTTCTAAGTTGCCATTCATGGAGAACCGTAAAATACTCATCTGAAGGCAATCTGCACAATATAGGATATAAAATATTAAATATTTCTTTTCCATGCCATTTATACCTTCAAAAATGTGGTATAAATGGAAAAATCCCAATCCATTTTTTCACTCCTTCCAATATACTCTTGTTATAATTGTAAGATAGTATATACAGGCAAATCAAAGGTTTGATCCAGGATGATAATTTTAATATCTGCCACCATGTGGTAAGCACTTACTCTGTGTCAGGGATTTTTCTAGTTTCTTAAGAATTCACCATAGTGTTTAATTCCTATAAAACCTTTTTTATGTGTGTGATATTATTCCTATTGTGATATTATTCCTATTGTGATATTATTGAGATGAGAATATCGAAGATTAGATGTCTCACCCAAGTTAATAAAAGGTGCAGTACCCCTTTGAATCCAGAACTGATCACAAAACCTAGGCTGAGTGTTAGGCTGTTTCCCAGGATTACTTGTGATACTTTCCACATTATAGAAACACTTTAATAAATTGCTTTGATTGATAACTTTAAGAAAGTCCTTGATGCACTAAAAATATGGAAATATGTAATCAGTATTTGTTTTCAAAAGTGAAGAATTTCTTAGTCAAGAGATCACCATTTGTTATCTGTTCAATTTCAATTTTTTTATATGATTGTCTTAGCATGCTATACAGAAATACCACATTTAGATGAAATGTATGGGTTATTATCTACAAAAGGATTCTAGACAAAATAAGCGGAGTATAAAAAACCCAGATCAGGAATCCCTGGGTGGCGCAGCGGTTTAGCGCCTGACTTTAGCCCAGGGCGCGATCCTGGAGACCCGGGATCGAATCCCACGTCCGGCTCCCGGTGCATGGAGCCTGCTTCTCCCTCTGCCTGTGTCTCTGCCTCTCTCTCTCTCTCTCTCTCTCTC